AACATCGTTTCGCTAAAAAAAGGAGAAAGCATCGTTATTATCGAAAATTATTCGACATTTTCCACGTGTGTCGAATAACACACACATCGATTTATATCGCACCTGCGTGTTATTATATCGAATGCAAAATTTCTTTCCGAAAGAACGGTGAATGGATGCCCTTGGTCCACCGAAAGAACGAATGTTGGTGAACTTCGTTCGCTTGAAACTTGACGAGATCTCGACCAACCTGGCTCTCGATTTATTCGACATTTATACGACAGGCTCGATCTGAGAAAAGAAGAGACGAGGACGCGGAATTGAGGAGAAATGAGACTGGCTGAATGTCGAGGGGCGAACGAACAAAGGCCGAAGGATAAATGCGAGAGATGCTCGGGAGGAATGATCGGGCGAAAACAGATGGACACAGTTGAACGCTTACGGAGGTAAGAACGAAGAAGGTGGGGAAAGAAGAAAAGGAGAGAAACGAGGGAAGCCACGAAGACGCTTCCGCCGATCGGAGGTGCGCAGAAGCGCCGATGTCTGGCGTCGTTCGTCGTGGTCGTGACAAGGGCTAACGCAGTCGTGACTCGCACGGCATTCGTGCCGGTTTGTTTCATTTCTCTCGCGGTTCATTCACAGTCTCGACACTTCTCGGTGTGTGCAACTTGCATCGTGGAAATCCGAGAGTGCTGGATCAGCCCCGAAAGAGTCGAATTCTCGATACTACGTCTGGTGGTTATGATGGTTCAAACGAAGTTTTCAAAGTCGAGGGAGCTAGTCTTCCAAGTTTCCAAAGTCGCGAGTTGAGAGAAGAAAGGAAAATCCAAGTGACAATTAGCTGAGAGGGGAACTGGAGGAAATTTTCGAATCAATGTCAAAGTTCGTTGAGCAAGACTAGTCGATTCAAGGGAAACAACCGGTCTCGCGTCTCGATTCAACGAGCATCATCTTTATTTTTACTCAAACAGCCGAGAGGGAACAAGCATGCGTTCGATCGTCTGAAACCTGGTGGTCGTCGAGGGTGAATGTCCATATCTCGGTGTCCACGAACGAGAGAAAATCAGAATGGACAATCCGACGACCTATCTGCAAAACTTCACGGCAATTCTCAACAACGCGAACAGCCTCGTCTTCGAGGAGAAACCGTTGTTGCCGAAGTTCTCCCGCAGGGACTCGTTGTACATCGTGGTCCCGGTGACGGTGGTCTACCTGTCGATCTTCGTGACGGGCATCGTCGGCAACATCAGCACGTGCATCGTGATCGCGCGCAACAAGTCGATGCACACAGCCACCAATTACTATCTGTTTAGCCTGGCGGTATCAGACCTGTTGCTGTTGGCCTCCGGCCTTCCGGCGGAGATCTATCTGGTCTGGTGCAAGTACCCGTACGTGTTCGGCGAGGTTTTCTGTATAATTCGCGGCCTGGCCGCGGAGACGTCGACCAACGCATCGGTCCTCACCATCACCGCGTTCACCGTCGAACGATACCTGGCCATTTGTCACCCGTTCCTCTCGCAGACGATGTCGAAGCTGACCAGGGCGGTGAAACTGATCCTCGTGATATGGCTGGTGGCGTTTACGTATGCGTTGCCGCAGGCCTTGCAGTTCGGCCTGATACAACACAAGACGAACCCGGAGATGTTGATGTGCACCGTGAAGAAAGTTCTCATACAACACTCGTTCGAGTTGTCCACGCTTCTCTTCTTCGTCATACCGATGAGCCTCATCACCGTCCTCTACGTGCTGATCGGGCTGAAGCTGAGAAAGTCGAACATGATGAAGAAGAGCAGCGGCAAGGGGAACGCTGGCAGCTGTAAACACCATCCTGGCAGGTCATCGAGAAGAGTGCTCAAGATGCTTGGTGAGTTTCCTTTTCTTCTTCTTCTTCTTCTTTTTTTTTTTTTTTTTTTTTTTTTTACGACTAAACTAGAGTAAAGAATATGGGGATAAATGTGGGAACATGGATGCTCTTTCTTACTGAAAGTGAATTGATTTTAAAGAGGGGGGAGGGGGGATGAAGTATAATAAATACTTAAATATTAAGTTAAATTTAATAATTTAAAATAAATATAATAAATACTATCCAGCGAAGGATAATAAATATATATATACTAGGTTTGAATACTCGTGAAAAAGCGTATTGGCTTCTTTCGTTTAAGTTAGATTTAGGTTAGGTACGTTCTTTGGTTTAGGTTAGTTTAGGTTAGGGACGAGCAGCTTTCGAGCAAGAAAGAACTCGATTCAAAAATTGGAAGACCTTGCAGACTTTTCGAGTTGGTATTAAAACCAATACGCTCATTTCCCGAAGAGAAAGGGAGAGAAATCATTCGACAAGTCGCATTAAGTCTTCTGTCGTAACTCTCGCGTTGGATTTTCGTTTCACGTTGGAGTTTATTTTTAAAACGAAATGATATCTCCACGTGCGCGGCAATGAAAGTATTTCTAAGAAATTATTTGTAATCTACAATGTAAATTGCGACAATTACCGATAATTGTAACATTTAATTACATCGTAACTTACGCTGATGCACGTTCCATCGATAGCGAACAGCACTAGAAGAAGTGTGAAAAGGAAAGAAGAAATTAACACGGCGTGAAATGATTTCCTGTGGGAAGCAAACGATCCGAGAAAAAGAAGAAAAAGAACGAATGTATCTCACTTGCTGATAAAATTTTGTCGGGACAAAAAGAGAGAGAGAGAAAGTCTCTCGTCTCTTAAAATTTCTTCATCATCATCGTCAGTCTATCAAAAGTGAAACTTCACTCTCTTCGTTTTATTTGTAACAATTTTCGAGCGAACACTTTGCAAATTAAGTGGTTCAGATGGACCAAAGGAAACTCATGCTCTCTCGAGGGAAATATTTCAATTGTTGAAGATCCTTCGATCTCGAAAACGATAACAAAATGATAACAAGGAAATAGTGCTTGTCGAGGAGAATTCTCTCGTTCACTTGGAAACCCAAGCCCAAAACAACTCATTTATTTTAT